TTCTGGCACCACGATCAAGCGGGTTTTTGATGGCATGGCCTAGATCTGACACCACAATGGGAGTATGAAAGACGTGGCCGCTAAACTCATGGCAGCTATGAGGGTGGTCACCGTCCCACCCTGCAAGCCACAGGTCCACAGGTGTACTTCCTTTCCTACCTTAGCCTTCCTGCTATGGTTTATATCCCGGAAGCCTCCTGCGCGGACAGGAGGCTTTTGGAAGTGGCTGGAGCATGGGAGTGGAATATTGGCTCACTGGCTAGTTTACCGTCGTTCTGGGTGGGGCTGAGTGGATTACTGAGGAGAGAAGCGCCACCCCGGCGGTGGGTGGTACCACCATAGACTCCTAAGCGGCGTGGAGTCAGGGAGAGGAGGAAGGCCGCCTCCCGCCTGGCCAGGAGCTCTTTCTCCTCTGCGATGCCCCTCTGCCGTGCCGCCCTGCCTGGAGCCAGCTGACTGTGGACTGAAACCTCTACACAGTGTGAGCTAAAATAACCTCTCCTCCTTTAACTTGTGGGTCTCACGGATTTTGTCCCAGCAATGAAAAAAGTAACTAAGATGCCTACTTTTTTTTTTTTTGGGGGTCTTTTTCCTTTTCGTCGGTACCAGGCATCGAACTCATAACTGCCTGCTTGCAAGGCAGGCGCTTATGCTGCTGAGCTAAATCCCCAGCCCCAAAATACCTATCTTTAAAACCTTTAATAAACGTAAGACCTCTGTGTTCTTCACTTGCCTTGCCCAACTCGGCTTTGTTTCGTTTTGAGACAGGGTCTCATATGCAGTTCAGGCTGGCCTTGAACTCGCTCTGTAGCCCAGGCTGGCCTTGAACTTGAAGTGGTCCTCCTGCCTCAGCCTCCCAAGTTCTCGGATTACAGGTGTGTGCTGCCATGCCTGACCTTGCCCCATTCTTTGAACAGGACAAGAGACTGGAAGAGACCCTTGGTTACCATAGTCCCAATTAACAGTATTTCAGTGACCGTGTATATCCATGTTCATAGCAGCACAGTTCATAATAACCAAACCTTTGTTTTTTTTTTTTTTTTTTTTTTGTCGGTACCAGGGATCGAACTCATGACTGCCTGCTTGCAAGGCAGGCGCTTATGCCACTGAGCTAAATCCCCAGCCCCATAACCAAACCTTTGAAGCAGCCTCTGTGACCATCAACAGATGAAGGGGTAAAGAAAATGTGTTTATACACAGTGGAGAACTACTCAGCCAATAAGATAAACTTGAGTCTTTTTAGGAAAATGAATGCACCTTGAGACCACAGTGCTAATTGAAATAAGTCAGACACACAAGCTTAAATATCACATGGTTTCTCTTCTGTAAGAAACTAAAAAAAACATAAAGGGGACTGGGGATGTGGCTCAGTGGTAGCGTGCTTGCCTAGCATGCACAAGGCCCTGAGTTCAATCCATCCCCACCATCACAAAAAAAGAAGAAGGAAAAAAAAAAAAAGAGTCCGGGGATGTAGCTCAGCAGTGCTTGCTTGGTAAGCATGAGGCCCTGAGTTTAATTTCTGGTACTTAAATAGAAAACAGTAGAAAAGAGAAGGGGACCAATATGGAGGGAGAGGGAGAGAGGGCAGGGAAAGTGGTTGGGAATGTGTTCTGTATGCACAGCAGCTCCTTATAAGGGATGGAATCATTATGCCCTGCAAACATGTACCAATAAAAATTAAAAAACAGCAAAAGAGTGGCTCAGCTAAATGAGAGGCCACCTGTGCACCTCAGCAGTGTCAAAGGCTAGAGTCAGGGTCCTGGGAAGACGGGGATCTATGAACCTGGGACACTGGTGTTTGGGTGGGTGCAGCCAAAGACTTAGGCCGCACTCTGTGTTTTAACTTGGGTATCCTGTGAAGCCCTTACTCAAACTGGCAGCTATACACAGTGCTTTCCTTCTGAGGGCTCAGGTTTGCCTCCTGTGTGTGTGTCCTGGGGCTGGTGTGTCCATAGCCTGAAATCCGAAAAGTGATGTCTCTTGCCCTACAGGGCATCAGCAGCCCCAAACCGGTCTCCCTGGCTTAGGCCAGGAGGTGCTGACAGGCTGGAGCCTCGGAGTGGAGACTTGGTTTCCAACTTCTAGGGGTCACCTGTATCCCTTGGTACGGGTCCCCTTCCTGCATCTTCAAAGCCACACCCACCATCACAGTTCTTCCTGTCCTGGAGTCAAATCTCCTCTACTAAGGGGCGCAGCTCTGCTCAGGTAGGACAGGGTAGTGGGGAGGCAGCAATCTCAGGGGAGGGGCAGGGAGGCGGGATAAACCCTCCCAGGCCTCGCCCCAGCGGGATAAACCCTCCCCGCCTCTTTCCACCAGGCCCTGCTCCTAACAGCATGTCAGCTCCTCCCCCATCATCTTCCGGGAGCCCACCTTTAAGAGTGTGAGGCTTCAGGGACATCTAAATAGAAACCATAACAGGATCTTCGGAGGCCATGTCTAGCAATGAATGATCTAGACATTCAAGCTTCAGCTCATTCATTATCTTGTTCGTTCATTTATTCATTCATTCATTCATTCACCCAGTGGTGTGGGGCTCAGCTGAGCCTGGCCAGAGAGGAAGGGAGCTCCTGGCCCAAGGAATAAATACCAGAGGCTATGTGGCCGGCTCTCCCCACCCTGCTCCGCCACTCCTCCTGCCACAGCCCTGTTCTCTGCCACTCGCAGAACTCTGACTCGCTTTGACCTTTTCCTAGAAAAGGAAATAAATTCAGTCTCTTTCTGATCCAGCAGCACCTACAGAGCCCCCGTCCTGTGCTTGGTACACCATGGGCACTTGCTTCTTGCCAGCCCATGGTCAGATTCCTGTCCCCTTGGTAGGTGCAGAGGACTCAGAGAGGCTCAGTGGCTCGCCCAATGTCACAGGAGAAGCAGTGGATGGAACTGAGTCTGGAGCACTGTGGGTCCCGTGTCCTCTCCTGTGTGAAGCCGCAAATGGGCCTAGGACTGCAGCTTCGCCTTGTCTTGGCCACTTCTCACTGGGCCCTGAAGTTAGAGATCAGCTCTGCTCCCTCTAAACCAGCATGTTAGGCAGGAGTTGGCTGGTGGCCCTTGGGAACAGAAGACATTAGACTTCCCACGATCAAGGCCCCCTGGCCACCTGTCCCCCAAACTGCTGTCACCTTTTAATAGATTTCTCGGGGAATGAGTAATTTGTTCCTGGTGTCAGCTTGGCGTGAGGCAGGAAGTCCCTGCAGGCCTGGCAGGTCAGCATGGAGCTACTCAAAGGCAGCATCTGGAGAAGGACAGTGGGTCAGCACTGGCCACTTAGCACGGCCATGCCACCAATTACTGCCTGGCCTGTTTCCTGCCGCAGACATGCCCAGGGCCAAGGCTTTGAACCCTGGCAGGGAGGCCAGCTTCCAGTAAACAACCCAGGGCAGTGGGCAGATTGACAGCGAGACTCAGGACGCCAGGCGATGGCTGGTGCTATGTGCTGCTTCCGTTGGCAGGTGGACAGGACCGAGGTCCCCGAGGTGCCCACAGGCAGGGGCCCTGGGGGCCATCAAGTGGCTGAGCTTCACTTCTAGGTAGACAGGCTCCTGCCACATTGAGCAGAGTTTCAAGGTCATGGAAGATAATTTCTCCAGGTAGAGGATGAGCCTGAGCTCGGTTCCTTTCTCAGTCACCAGTTACAGAGCAAGGGTGTGAACAGAAGCTGCAGGACCATAGTGTGCAGCTGCTCCTTCTGCTCAGTGGGCTGACATTGCTGGCTGCCCCATCCTGGCTCCCAAGGCCATTGCCAGAAAGGTCTAGGTTTCCAGATACCAGGAAGCAGTGTCCTTATAGGGATCCATAGGAAGGGGCAGGAGCGAGTTTCCCAGGGGGGTGGCAAAGTTCCAGACCCCAGCTGGGGCCCTGGATGCACACTGGGCCAAATTCACTGGCCAGCGGCCTTCGCTTCCATGTTTTCCTCTGTACCCCACGTGAACCTCAGTTTAAGTGGGAAGACAGTGAAGAAGGAAGGGGCTTGGCACACAGACACATGCACATACACTTTCACACTCACACTCACATACACTCTCTGACACAAATGATCACATGCTCACATACCTGCTCACACACACATGCATGCACATATACTCATACTCATGCTGCCACAGATGCTCACACACACAGAACAGTCACGCGTGCACTTGCACACTCAATACCTGCACTCATATGCACTCGTACTGACACATGCACTCACACACTCACTTTTATACTCACACAATATACACTCCCATCTGTCACATGCAGTCACCAGACTGTCATAGTCATACATTCACATCATTTACACATTCCTGCATTCACACCATCTCCCATACCACCATGTACACACACAATCCTGAAACAACGTGACTCCACACTCACAAGTGCATTCGTGTGCTCTCAGAATGTCAGACAGATGTATTCACGGTGTTGTAGGCAACCACGCTCTTTCCTTCTGCGGTCAGGCTGCCCTCAGGTCTTTTCCCCCTCAGCGAAGCTGCTGAAGAGAGCAGAGTTTTGGCCTTTCCGCTGCCATCAGGTCCATTCCAGGTGCAGGAAAGGAGCGGCTGGAGATGGGGAGCCCAGCGGCCAGGATGCTGCTGTCCTGCAGCAGAGCAGCAGCTCAGAGGCGGGTCACCTCTGCGGTCCTTGTGGCAACTGCTCTGTTCCACCCTGGGGACACCCCACTTACAGGAAGTAAAGAGAAACTCAAAACTGGAAAGTCAGTGCACCGTCACTAGGTGTGCTAGACTGTGCTAGGTGTGGCGGTGCACTCCTGTAATCCCAACCCTCGGGAGGCTGAGGCAGGAGGATCGGTACAAGTTTGAGACAAGTTTGGAGCCTGGACTACAAGGTGTGCTCAAGACCGGCCTGCACTGCACTGAGACCCTGTCCCAAGAAGACAAACAGAACAAAACAAAAAACTGGGGGGAAAATTTGAAGGGGCTCCACCATTTACTTCCAGGATAACTGGAGACAAACATGATCAAAATAAAGAATTACACATTGCAATAAGAACCCACAGTGAGCATTTAAATTTAAAACAGTTTATTACAGCGAAAGACTCATTATCATTAGTGCCCCTCAGAATATTTCCTCCAGCTTCAGACACGCACTTCTCCCACGCTCTTGGCACCTTCTGAAGCAGATCTGGAAGTCTTCTTTGTGACTGTTTTTAGTTGCATAGTCGTGCATCCTTGTCCTGAATTGATTCGAAACGCTCACCTGTTGTGGTCATTTTGACCTTGACGAAGAGGTAGCAGTGGCAGGGTGTCAGATCTGCGGGTAAGGCGGGTGGCGGGTGCCCTGCAGTCTCCGTGTGAGCCTGTGTTTCTGTTAATGTCACACAGGAGCAGCATTCACCATGTTGCTTTTTAAAAAATCTTATAAAGATGCTCAGGAAAGAGGACTGTCAGAACTGCTTCCTAAAGTGGCCCGAAGACGATGCCAAGTGTGTCTGGAGTGAGAAAAGAGTATTTTTGCGGGGAATTAATGGCAAGGCATCTTTTACTGCAGCCCATTTTTCAGTTTAGTCCCTTACCATGTATTTCAATTGCACCTTTGTATAGCACAGGACTCCGTGTGGCTGGGGGTAGAGGGTGGGACCACAGTGGGGTGAGGAGAAGGAGAAGCCGGCTGAAGGGTCTGTTGTGTTTGCTCAATTGCTCTGGCAACTTGCTGAAAGTCTGAAAACTTTCAAAAATAAAAATCAGAGGAAAAGTAATAATACAGAGAATCTGAAAAAAACCCAGAAAGGAACAAGGAGAAAAATAAGAATCGTCCGTATCCCATCAGTGAGGAGTTAACCGTTAGCTGACAGAATATTTTAAACACACAGAATACACACCGCATGCACCAAATTGTATGCGTTGTGCCAATTTCCCAGCCTTTCTTCTGTCTTTAAACATGCATTGAATCTCATAATCTCATCATGCATTAGTTAACTCTTCTCCCACTGCCTGATATTAAGGTTATTCTAGATTTTATTATACTATCTATATCATATCTATACCATATATACTATTGCATAAGACTATAAACATATAATAATTTATAATACATAGCTATATGTTATGTATTGTATAGCAATATATTATAGAATAATGCTATTTGATACTATGTACTATAATAGTGTATACTATGTTATAATATTATATAATATTACATATTATAAGCCATTCTGATTTTAAACATGTAACTCATTATATATCCAATATATAATCAACTGTATAGCATTCAGTACAGTCCACACACTTTTTTTGAGGAAAATTCTCACTGTATAGTTCAGGATGACCGCAAACTCTCTATGTAGCCCAGGCCAGCCTTGAACTTGCAGTGAATCCTCCTGCCTCAGCCTCCCAAGTACCCAGGCGTGCACCACCACATCCAGCTCAATCCACCCAATTTGTCTCAAGACAAACCCTTTCAAAGGGAATTCTGGGGCACGGTGTTTGAACTTTTTCAAGGCTCCTCAGTTATTTTAGCAGCCAGCTGTCCAGAAGACTAGTTCTACTTCACACCCTTGCTGGCAAACCCTGATGCTGCTCCCATGGGCACAGCAGGGCCACCTCAGGGTGCTGCCACTGCCTATGCTGATCTGATGGTGGACATGGCTCTGGAGGTGCGTGCAGCTCCACAGATGTCTTGGTCGCGTCTTGCTTGTTTCTCTCTGCACCTGCGGACCTCGCTCTTGGTGGCAGGGCTGTCATTCTCCTCTAGTGCTACCTCCCTTCTGCAGCTCCATCTCCGTGCTTTACCACCCCCCTGTCCTGCAGAGAACATCTGCTGCCCTGCCTCTGTCCCTCTGCCCTCTCCAGGAATGGCTCCTTCCTGCTCAGGACCCACACAACCTCCTTGCGGCTCTCTACAAGCCGCTGCACCTCTGTCCCCAGCTCAGTTCTGTCTTGAGCTCCAACGAGACCCATCCTAAAGTCACCTACGCAGTCTCATGCTGTCACCCAGGTGGCCACCCAAGACTGGTATCTGGAGGACAACATGGATGTGTCCCTTTCCCAGACCCTCACATACAGCCTTCAATGACATACTGTACTCCTCACTACAGACTGTCCCCTCCCTGTCCTCCCTGTCCCCCACCTCATGGCTCTGGGAACCCCATGCAGTCATTAGCAGAACCGTCCTATCCTTCAACTTTCTGGTTTATTTCCGTGTCTGTCTCCTGGAAGGTAGAAGCTTCCTGTTTCTGGGTGCAGGCCTGGAGTCTGATGAAGGCATGTACGATTCGATGAGCTCGGGCCATAGTTCTGGACATGGAGACAACCCTAGAGCTGGACGTGTGTCCCAGAGACACATTTGATGAGGACTGAGCAAGGCTGTGGGGAGAAAGCACCCATGGGCCTTGGGCAGAGGCTTCAGGATGGCTTGTCCTTTGGTGACGCTCTGCCCAAGTTCCTGTTTTAAGTGGCCAATCCATTTCCCTGAGAGAGGTCACCTTGCTTCTCAGTCTAAGCACCTGCCAGGCTGCCCAGTGCCAGCCCATGAGGCCTCCGTAGTTGGGCCTGCACATCTCACCTGTCACACACACCCTCCTCCCCCGCCAGCCTGCAGTCGTGCCCCCTCCTGCCTGCCCTGTCTCCCACTTTCCTTCTCTTTTGGTCCCAGGGCAGGGCCTTCACACTGATACCTCTCCAGCCCCTTCTTTATTTTTCGTTTTGAGATAGTTCTCTAAGTCCACCTGCTGTCTCTAACTACATCTCTAAGTTGCAGGCTGAGTGTGAATTTGCAGGCATCCTGCCTCAGCCTCTCAGAGTGCAGATCCCATCCCCTCTGTCATTCCCCCACCTTTATATGAGTGACTCTGGCCGGGGGCTTCTCCTTGTTCTTCACTGTCACCCTCCACAACTTGGGCCGGCATCATCTCCTCCAAGGAGCCTCCCCAGGTCTTCCCTGTATGCAGAAAGCCACCTGAGTTTCAGCCTCCTTTCCTGCGCCTTCCCTGTGTAAGGAGTCCCAGCTGCAATCTCCTTGCTCCCGGATTAGTGAGAGAATCAGAAGGCTGGAATGAGAGGCTGCGGTACAAAGCAAGCACGGAGGACAGCACAGGCTTGGGTTCAGTCCCACTGCCCTCGCTCAGCAGCTGTGTGACCTTCAGCCAGGCATCTCCTCTCTCTGGGTACAGATCCCCCACCTGTAAGGCAGATCCTTGTAGGTGGCTGAGGGAACGAATGGCGTCGTGGCCTGGAAGCCACTTACACAGTGCTTAGCACACAGAAAGGTCTGGGGTAGATGTTGTGGGGCAGGGAAGCGATTGGTAAATTCTGTGGTGCTGTGAGGGGGTGAGGGTCGCAAGATGTCACTGTGGCTTACACAGAGCCAGAGAGCAGAAGGGGGCTTCTCTTTCTTGGTCACCAGCAGCTGGGCTTGGTAGACCCAGGGCCTACCCAGTACAGGCCCTGCTGACAGCGACTGGGGTTCTTTGGGGCTCAGGTGGCCCCAAGACTGCTAAGTGCCCAGGAGCAGGAGGAGGGAATCCATGCCTGGATGCAGCCCTGGGACCCCGCTGTACCCCTTCTGCTGGAGCTGGGCTGCTGCTCTCATCCATGCAGAGAGGCTTGGCACCTGGGTGCTGGGCTGGGGGCCCTGGAGCCTGGAGCAGCTGCACTAATTCATGCAAAGGAAGGTGCCCAGGTTTGCCCTGTCTATTTATAGCTTATTTATGAAGAAGGAAAAACAAAGACCTTGTTGCCATAGCAACCAGGAGCATCATGGGCAGCTCTGCCTGCAATGGGAAGATGGCCAAGTCTGCCTGTGTGAGGCACCCTGGCTGCTGTGTGTACTCTGGCTGTGAGCTAGAGGCCAGAGAGGGTCTTCCAGGGCTTGCCCACCACTCCAGGTTCTCGGCAGCCTGTACATTGGGCATGGTGGGGCTGCAGCTTGCTGGTTCTATGGAAAATCCAGCTTAACAAGACCATGTACACCTGACTGCCAGGCAACGCACTCTGTGGGATGCACTCTGGTCTCCTGCTTTTGGAGCTTGCTCTGTCCTCCAAGTGTGCACCTGCTGTCCCAGGCAAGGTTAGAGCCTGGCACCCAACTGTGCTCCTGAGTGTGTCCCTTAGGACATTCAGCATAACACACTGGAGCGACAGTCCCACACCAAGGCCCTGTGACTGCGATCTAGCTTGAAGCTGGCAGGAAACCTAGCACTACAGAAGAAGAGCGTAGCAAGTGCTGAATGAGTGAATGAGAGAGTGAAATGCTTTCCAATTTGTGGTGCATACACTCATTCAACATATGAGCACTACCATGTTCTCTCGATTTACAGATGAAGAAACTGAGGTTCAGAGAGGTAAAGAGACCAGTATAAGGTCACACAGCAATAACCGAGTTGGTTAAGAGCAGGAAATTTTGCTTTTGTTCAAAGCCCCAGGGATCTCTGGAGTGTGGGATCCACATGGGTGGTAGTGGTGATGTTAGGTTTGGCCCAGGGGCAGAAGAGATGTCATCTGAACCTAGCCTCTGCTAGGTGTCAGCAGCTTGATCTTGCCAGTGACTTCGCTTCTGCAGCCCTCCTGTGCCCCACCTATAAAGGGACCACTAGTTCCCTGAGGGCAGGCACTGTGCTGTCCCTTGATGGTCTGGTCCCCAGTGTCTGGCACAATCTAGGGCCCTGGGATGCACTGAGATCCCATATATATCTTGCCTGGACAGAACTGAGGATGGTAAGTGCTTTCTGGGACTGTGTTTTGCTCCTATACTGTTTGAGAATTGAGGCACAGAGAGTTTGAAGGCTCCCTTGAGGCCACAGGCACATCCATAGCAGAAGTGGTGTTTGCAGTTTAATTGGGCTCTGTGACCTGGCTCTGTGTGTGTGTGTGTGTGTGTGTGTGTGTGTGTGTGTGTGTGTGTGTTGGGCTAAACTGCAGTCCCAGGGGGACGCAGACAAGTTGGGCAAGGAAGCTAGGCAGGAGGTTGAATGCTAGAACTAGGACTGGCTAGTCCATGGCTGGCTTGGAGGTTCGGAGGCTGCAGCCTGCCCCTGCTCAGGGCTCAGCCATCGGGACAAGCCCTGGTAGCCTGGAGGCTCCCTGTTGCCCTCTGCTGGGCTCTCTCTGCCTCTGCTGGGTCACCCCCAAATGCCATTGAAGAGGAGGCAATGCTACTTTCTCAGCTTTGTCTGGACACAAAAATGATTACCAAACAAACAAACAAACAAACAAAAAAACCCTCACACAAGAAGAAAAATGCATGGTGGGCAAACCCTAGCCCTCTCTGTGCCCCAATTGCAAGGCCTTGGGAGAGAGTGTTTCTTTTTACGGCTCAATAATATTTCACCAAATATTCTACATTTTGCTTAACATCCATCCATCAGTAGCCATCTGGCTTGTTTCCATTGTCTGGCCATTCCTCCTCTAGAATGTGAATTTACAAGGTTTAGGAGTTCGGTCCAGGAGGTTGGAAGTCAGAATCAAGGTGTCATGAGAGTGACTTCTTTCCGAGCTGTAAGGGAGATTCTGTCCAAAGCTTCTGGTCTTGTGTCTGGGGGTTTGACAGCAACCTTTGGTGTTTCCGAGCTTGTAGAAGCACCACTCCATCTTTACCCTGTGTGTATGTCTTGGCTATGAATTCCCCCTTTTGTGAGGATTCAAGTCCTGTTGGGTGAGGACCCACTCTTAGAGCCTCATTTTATTTGAGGAGCTCTGTAAAGATCCTGTTTCCAAATCAGGACCCAGACTAAGAGTTATGGCTTCAAAATATACACTTATTTCCCATAAGAGATGCAGAGATGTAATAAAATGAAATTCAACCTTTGGTAATTACTTGTGAACTCAGATTTGTGACAGACACTGGTTCTAGGCATTTTTGACACATCCGTTCATTCATTTGCACCCAGAACCATGCCTGGCATATAGTTGGTGATCCACAGATCTATGTTGAGTTCATAGTTATTAATGCTGCCATTTGTTATGTAAATTCGAGCAAATTCTTATATTCCGTGAGTAAAATGAATTGATACAAAGCCACCTCCTAGAGTTGTTGATAGGTTGAATTGAATGTACTACTAATAATAGCAATTTATGAGGAGTTGCTATGTGTCAGGATTGATGCTTTTCAAGGACAATGTTCAGTACACACAGAGATATTTTTAAAGTGAGAAAATTTACTTAATACAAAACTCACCATTTTCATGCTTTAAAGTGTGAGTTTCAGTGGGCTTTAGTACATTCAGAACATTGTACACCTAAACTGCAGTCTAATTCCAGGGCATTTTTATCATCTTCTCCCAAATCTTTACCCCTTAAACAGTCACTGCACCAACTTCCAGCAACCACTAACTACACTGTCAGAAAAATGGAATTATTCTATTTCTATGTCATACAAATGATACCATATGTGTTTTGTGCTTGGCTTCTATAGCATAATGTTTTCAAGGTTTGTCCCTGTCATAGTCTATATCTGTGCTGTGTTTCTTTTTATGGCTGAATAATATTTCACCAAATATTCTACATTTTGCTTAACATCCATCCATCAGTAGCCATCAGGCTTGTTTCCATTGTCTGGCCATTATGATTAATGCTGTGATGCACATTCATCTACAAGTTTTTGTGAACATACATTCTCAACTCTCTTGGGTAAATATTTAAGAGGGTGGTACTTTGGGGCAAATTGCCAAATCATTTTCTTGAGCTGCAGCCTCATTTTACATTCCCACTGGCCCCTAAAGAGACTTCTAATTTTCCCACATTCTCTCCAACCCTTCTAGTTCTGTCTTTCTAATTAAAGCCATTCCAGGAGTGCAAAGCTGTATCTCACTGATTTTGATTTGCATTTCTCTAATGACTTATGTCAGCATCTTTTCATGTGCTTATTAATTTTCTTCTTTTTTTTCTTTCCTTTTTTTTTGGACATGGTCTTGCTTTGTAGTACAGGCTGGCTATGTACTCACTATGTAGCCCAGGCTGGCCTTAGACTCACAGCGAGCCTCCTGACTCAGGTTCCCATGTGCTGTGGCCTTACAGGCACTCACCACCAACCTGGCTGCTTATTTTTCCTTCTAAGAAGATGTCCTTTACATTTGTCGGGGGAGAAAATAGATTCAGAGAGATGCAGACTTGCTCCATCCAGCAAGGTTTTGGGTGTTAATATCTCAGAAACAACGCGTGCCACTTTAACATTAGAAAAATGCGGTTGCATTAGACAATCCTTTCCCGCTTCCAGTCGTCAGTTTCTCCTCCGCACCACTTGAGGCGGTACGTGCCAGGCACATTGGGGCCTCTCTCGGAAACGCGAGCTTTATGATCAATCTTTCCCACTCGGAGCTTGCCCCGCCCCTTTGGCCCCGATTTCTCCCTGGGCGCCGGAAGTGCCCGGCTCTTTTTTGTTGGCTCCGCCCCCGGCCCCGGAAATACTTTCTCAGGAAGATGGCGGCGGTGTCGGTATATGAGCCACCGGTTGGAGGTTTCTCGTTTGATAACTGCCGCAGGTGCGGCTATGTTCGGGCCAGAAGTGGGGGTGGGAGTGCGGTGGCGGGGTCGGAGCTGGGCCGCGGCCTGGGTGGGAGGTGCGAGCGAAGGGTGGGTGGCGGGGCCCAAGGTCCGTGTGACTCAGGGGAATTAGGGCCTCAGCGTGGGTTTGTCCCTAGGCCGGGTCTGCCTTCTCGCTTTCCCATTGCGTTAGAACACCGCTCGTCTTCGTCTTTTTAAGTGAGTCGCAGCCCGCCTGTGGGACTTTCTTCGTTGAACGTCGGGGAGAAAGTGCTGAAGGTTGGGGGATTTAGTGAACAGACGGGTGAAAGCGAACAGCTTTCCCGAGTGTCTTGTTAAGCACGCTGCGTGTCGGCACGGTTCAGTGGAGTCTTACCCTTCAACTCTGCATTTTCGCATTTGCTCTCAGGAATGCAGTCTTGGAAGCCGATTTTGCAAAGAAGGGGTTCAAGCTTCCTAAAGCCCGGAAAACTGGCACTACGATTGCGGGCTTGGTCTATAAGGTAAACAGCTGTGACACTTGTTAACAGGACCCAGACCCCTTTGTCTCTCAGCTGGGTGTGGAAGGCTAGGTGTTAAGGAGCACAACAGAAAAAAAGATATTTTAGAAGCGACTGCTT